CGGGGCGGTGCAGACCGCCAGCCCCGAGCCCGCCGGCTGGAGCGAGGCGCTGCGGGCGGCGGTGGCCGAGCTGCGCGCCGGCGCCGTGGTGGCGGTCCCCACTGACACGCTGTACGGCCTGGCCTGCTCGGCGAGCTGCTCGGCGGCCCTGGGCGCTGTGTACCGCCTCAAGGGCCGCAGCGAAGCCAAACCGCTGGCCGTGTGCCTGGGCCGCGTGGCCGACGTCTACAGGTGAGGCCGCCCGGACCCGGCCCCACTGGGGGCGGCACCACGGGAGGGGTTTCCGGTGACAGTCCTGGGAGACTTAGGCGCTGGGAGCGGGAGGGGCTTGTCCGGGCGCTCCGAGAAGGAATCCGGAACTGGAAATGAGTTGGGAGAGCTTAGCCGTGCCAGACCCCCGAACTAAACACTGGGTCGCCGCGGTGAACCCGACAAGCATGGCCTCTTTCGTTTGGGGCTCTTGGGATGCATGAGGGGAGGCCCGCGGTACGAAATTTGGTAACAAATTTAGTAGTGAGTGTCTTCCAGACTACAAAACACAGTTCGAGTCTGCATTCGCCGTGTCATGGCGCTGTAGTGTATTCACTGAGATCAGCATGTGGATTGCAAGCCTGGGGGCTTCTCTGGAGTCCTGACTTCTGCCCAGGCACCGAGGAAGGGGATTCGGGGAGACAAGCAGATCCTTTTCGTGGATCTGCACACAGTCTGGGAAAGGTCGACCAGGGTAATTTTTGAGAGGATCCGTGCCCCTTGTGCCCAGGTACTGCCAGGTGAGAGTACCCAAGGAACTCCTGCAAGATTTATTGCCAGGACCAGTGACTCTGGTGATGGAACGCTCAGAGGAGCTCAACAAAGACCTGAACCCCTTCACTCCTGTGAGTCGTTATTTGCCTTTGTCTAACTAGACCAGACTCCTTCTAGCCCTTGGAACCTTCCTTAAGCTCACTCCTCTTGCCTCTAGCTTGTTGGCATCCGGATCCCTGACCATGCCTTCATGCAAGCCTTGGCCCAGATGTTTGGGGGACCTCTTGCTCTCACTAGTGCCAACTTCACCTCCCAGACCAGTTCTCTGAATGTTGAGGTGAGAATTGCCCAGTTCTGTCCCCAGGAAGTCAAGGCCCTAAAATGATTTTATTTTGAAAGGCCAGGAGAGGACTGGTGTTTTCTTCATACTGTCTTTATAATAGGAAAGACTGTGGGAAGTAAAGTCAGTTTTGTATGGGTACCAGTTGTTAGAGACTTTGCAGTAGTGTTGTGAAAGTTCACTTCTTTAGTCACACAGCATTAAATGTCAGTTCAGGTTTTTGCCTGTTTTTTCCTTCTTTTTGTAGTAGGCTCTTACTCTTTAACTTAAGCTGACCTTGACTTCAGGATCATCCTACCTTGGCCTCCTAGTGCCATTTGTGCACCACTATGCATGGCCTTTATCTAGTTTTTAACTCCTGACCTGATTCACTTATCTCTGCTCACAAGGCAGGCCAAAAACAAAGTCATTATAATCCTGCCTTGACTTCTTGGTTTAGAACAAATGAGGACACAAAGAAACTTCACTTTCTGTTCTTACTACACTTAAATGTAGAGTACAGTAAAAGGATGGGGTTTTCTGTGCCAGGAATGGAGAGTAGAATTAGGGGCCTCAGAAATGCCTTATCCATCTCCTTAAACTGGCTTTATTTGCTCTGGATATACAGGGTGGATCAGGGTGGGGAATGTGGCAAGAAAAGGGGATGGTTCTTATCAATAACCCTGGGCCAGCACAATTGCTTTTGTTGTTGATTTGTTTTATTTGTAACTCACACTTAAGATCCCCTATAGAATATTCCCAGGCTGTGCTACATTGGAGTGTCTTTACTGGGGATGAGAGGACTCTGACTCAGTTAATGGTACAATCCACAGTTTTGCCCATAGCCCAAGGACTGAGTGCTGGAGTCATGGGGTTTGCAGACCCCACCCTATTTTCTTGGTGATTGGGTTCCACTGAGGTTCAAGATTCGACTCCTGGAGCTAGAAAGACTCTTAGTGGTCACCTAGGCCAGGCCCCTCATTTTAGGGGCCTAGATGAAGTAACTTGCATGCATCCCACAGATATGACAGCAAGTATAGGGTTAGAGCACACATTTCTGGGCTCCTATCCAGCACTCCAGTCATTGCATCTAGGACTCCCCAGTCCCGTGGTATTTAGGGTTCCTTTTCAAATATTTTATTCATTATATTTTATGTGTATGAGTGTATTGCCTACATGTATGTAAGTGTATCCATGTCGTGCGGTGCCCATGAAGGTCAGAGGAGGGCAGTGGATCCCCTGGAACTGGAATTATGGATGGCTGCCAGCCACCATGTGGGTGTTGGGAACCAAACCTGGGTCCTCTGCAAGAGTAGCTAGTGCTCTTAACTGCTGAGCCATCTCTCTAGCCCCATGGGGTTCCTTTTAGTACAGCAAGGTTTTCTGTATGTTCTAGGCAAGGATTACTTGGGGTACATACCAAGGGGGACTACAAACCTGATGGCTGTGGTATCCTGAATGTTAGCTATGCCCTTGACACAGCTAAGTGGTTCCTCTTTTGCTTGTTGGAAGATGGCCTCCATTTCAATCAAGCCATGTGTGTAGGGAGACATTGTTGCTAATTCCAGGGGTCATGGCCATGCCCTGCCTTCTCAGGAATTCCAAGACCTCTGGCCTCATTTGTCCCTGGTCATTGATGGAGGACCAATTGGAGATAGTCAGAGCCCTGAGTGTCGTCTCGGCTCTACTGTAGTTGACTTGTCTATGCCTGGAAAGTTTGGCATTATTCGCCCAGGCTGGTAAGTCTCTTTCCTGTACTGTGAGGGAGGTTGGATGGGTTAAAAAAAAAAGAAAACTTTGACAGGTAAAGAGTTTCTTGACTCCTGCATTTCCCTGGTTGGGGGTCAGGCTGGAGGGTGGTTGCTGAGGGCATCCTTGGAGAGGTGATAGGTGGGCTGGGCCTAAATTAGCTGGTATGGCTGGCTTTGGGGGATTCATCAAATTTGATGAATAGAGCCTGAGACCGGTGAGTTGAAAGGCATCTAGTTTTCAGACTGGTGGGCTCAGGGCTTTGAGAAGTCAGGCTGTCACTGCCTTTTATGTCTTCCTCAGTGCCCTGGAAAACACCACCGCCATCCTCCAACAGAAGTACGGGCTGCTTCCCTCACAGGGCTCCTGCTCATGAAACAGAAGAGGAGGATCCCAGGACCACGTTGGATACTATGTGTCTGTCCACTGCTGGTTGGCAAGGCCTCCTTGGTTGAGGTCGCTGGAGCCACAGCAGTAACCTGTCCTGTAGGCAACATGTCTTTCTGAACACTGTAGACAAGGAGCTGCTGTTTTTACCTTGCATACTGGAGAAAGATTGTATTTTTCTGTACTTCATAGATCAACCAAAAGCTGAGTGGAAAGACTGTCCAAAAGGACATTCTTACTGTTCTGTCTCTTCTCCCTCCCTTACCTCTTTGTTTTTTTTTTTGTTTGTTTGTTTTTTTTTTTTTTTAATAAAAAACAGGGTCTCTGAAGCCTCAGCTGGCCTGGAACTTACTACTAGACCAAGCTAGCCTCAGTCTCCCAGAGGTCCTGCCTCTGCCTCCTGAGCTCTGGGATTAAAGGTGTATGCCCAGCCCTCTTCCCCTACCTCTTAAATTGAAAGCAATTTAAGTAACAGATGGAGATTAGTGAGAGCTTGTCTCTGGTGGACAGTGGCTTTAATGTCTAAGCCAGCTAGATGTGCTAGTGTAGTTTCAAAGTCTTGAGACCAAGGCAGAAAGCCCCAAGCCAAATGCTTTCCTGAGCACCAGGGTGTGATCATTTTGGTCTAATGGAAAGAAACTTATCAGGGGTAGGGGTCCAAATTAAGCAATTTTGAAAAATCTTAACTATCATTTTCAGTCAGTGACATTTTCTTATTTATTTGTAAAATAAATTATATAATTCTGTGTATAATACCTTTATTTCACCTCAGTGTTTTCTCAAGCATTTTTCTTTGTTCATGTGTACTGAATGTTATGCATAATTAATGTTGGGTGTTTGAGCTATATTTTTATTATTAAAAAATGCTATCAAACATTTGTAAGTGGTTTATATTTCCTTTGAACTATTTCCTTAGGGTAGGATGCCTAGGTCACGATGTCCGTATGCTTTTCTGGCTCTTGATGTAGATTAGCCTTCAAAAGATCGGAGTTGTTTCATTGATGGTGGCTGCCTCTTCCTGCTGGCCTTGTCATACTCTTCATGTTGTACAAGCAGGTTAAATCCAGCCCTTCCAAATGTCCCTGCTTGCCTTGGTTTCCTCAACTAAGCCACAGCCTGGGTGGTCAGCCCTGTTCATCTGTCACATGGGGTTTAATGTCATGAATGGTCTGGTTGTCCTTGAGATAACCTAAGTTCCACTTCCTCCCCTTCCTGCTTGCACCCATTTTCCAGAATTGTGATTCAGCCTTAGCCTGTGAACCTCTGAGTACAGTTTTCCAGTGCATTTTTTTTTTCCAAGTAGAGTCTGAGAATCTTGCTAAGAATGTATTCCAGTGGCCTACTTTAGTAAGGATCCTTGCAATCTGCATTAGTTATTTGTAAATAAGCACTGGTTTGTTAACTATTCCCTCCAGAAATCTTATTTGAAATAGTAATTTGAGCAAACCCATTCTCACTGTGCTAAAACTACAACTGTACACCAATTCGGTACAGAATCTGACTGGGAGGTCAGACTTTATGAGGTCTTGTGAGCAAGAGGATTGTGTACTGGAGAATACCACTTCATGTTTAATACAGATCACAGTAGTGCTGAAAGCAGCCCTGGGCAGGGGCCTTATCCAGCATGGGCAGCCAGAGGGAACATGACCTAGTCCTCTCCCTGAAACTAAGTGTCCATCTGAGGAAAGTAGGCTCCAGAGCAGAGGTATGTTCTTAGGAAAAATAGCCGAGCTCTCAGGGCCGGGTGAAACTGCAAAGAAAAAAGCATAACAGCCCAGCACTACCTGAGGCCACACCAGTTGAGGAAAGCAGCTCCTGTCAACATCAGGACAGGAACCTTGTTCATCCCCTGGCATCTGACACAATAAGGTACTTAGGGAGTGGTGACAATAATGTGTGAGTGCTCAGGGGTGTTTCCTGATAACTGGGCTCAGGAGTCTACTGGAAGGAGTTTAAACATTTAAGTTGCCTCTTACAGTTCCCTGTCATCAAGAAGACATGATCTGGGAAGGGGACTGGAGGAGAGGATGCAGGAAGCAAGGCGCATGCTAGCTCAGAACCCTGAGACCCTTCCAAGCTCAATGACTGGCAACTCCACTACACAACAGCCTGCCGCCAAGCTGCAAGCCAGGCCAGAAGAGTGAAAGCATTCTGAGGATGTGGAGCTGCCCCGAGCTATGCGCAGCCACCTGCCAGCCTCTCCCTCTTCAATACGCCACACTTCTCATCACTGCCAAGCACCCAGCACCACAGTCTGGGGACCAGGCTGTTTTCCATGGGCCCTGACTAGATGGCCCACCCAGAAGTACTCAGCTGCTCACTTCTGGGGACTAGCGAGTGCCTACACCCTCAGTGAGCCAGCCTAGTGACCTAGAAAGCTTGGGTGGCAGCCCTTCACATCAGCCACTGCTCCTTCTCCTTGATGAAGTGCTCTGCCCAGCGGCGGGTCAGCTCCAGATAGAGACTGGGCTGGTGAGGCAGATAGTCCAGATACAGGCGAGTTGGTGTCTTCTTAGGAACAGCCTTTTCTATCTGTGTGCCCTCATGCCACTCATTAAAAGAGGTGATGGAGACGATCTCAGGCCTCACGGTCAGAGCCGCTTGCAGGGCTGTCTCGTAGTACTTGCCGTTAACCCTATTGCGAGTATTGTGGTTGTTCCAGGGTCTGATGCTGGTGTCAATGTATCCAGGCCCCACACTGGGAATAAACATGAGGTTGTTGGCATCACAGAAGTTCTTCACAGCTTTCCAGTTCTGGTGGGAGGAGCCAAAGGAGAAACCATTGGAAGCAAAGTAGGTGTACATGCCATCGAATCCTCCCGCAAGGATGTCATGGGTGTGGCCCTCCTCCACCAGCAGCGCTATGAAGACCCCATCGTAGGGAGTGTTGCGGATCGAGTGGGGCCCACTTTGTGTCAGGAGGTGGGCCCAGGCCTCAGGGGACGTCAGGTATGAATCGTAGATATAAAAGAGTGGGAGGCTCTTGCCCATGCTGTTCTTATAGCGGTAAAATGCACCATGGGATCCATACCTGAAGAGCAGGAGGAAAAGACTTGAGTTTGCTGTGAGAAGCCAGCACAGCTCCAGAGCAGCCACAGGTAAGAAGTTGTTTATGCCCACAGTTTACAGTCTAGGATCCAGCAGAGAACTCGCTGGGCTTATGCCTCCAAGCAAGAACCTGCCTCCCTCCTGTCTCTCCCTGGCCTTGTTCTCCTTAAGCCTCTCTCTTGAGCCAAGCCACCATCATGTTTCATCTGGACTGCAGCAGCACTCACCTAGTTGGTGTTTAGACTTCCATTCCTGCCTTCCATGGGAGCTGATCTGACCTTACCATGACCCCGCCACTTGATCTGATCCTGCATACCTTCATATCTGCTACCCACCAGTCTCCACTCCCTGTCTGGCCTTCCTATTTTCCATCAGGCTTGTCCCTTCAGGCGTTTGTATCTGCCAGCCCTCTGTCTGGAATTTCCCCCTTTTCTCCAGATCTCTTCCAGAAATGGCTTAAAAAAAAATTTTTTTTTGGGTGGGAGGGGTGGGGGTGAGGGTGGATCTGGGAGGAGTTGGGGGAGAGGTGAGAGGTGAATATGATCAAAATACATAGTATGCAAATTCTCAAAAAATTAATAAAAAATATTTTTTAAAGTGTTGGGGATTGAATCCAGGAACTCAGCATCATGATCATCCTTGTAATCCCAGCACTTGAGAGGCCAAGGGAGGAGGGCCAGAAGTTTAAGGTCATGCTCAGCTACATAATTAGAGGCTAGCCTGGGCTACATGAGACTGTCCCCAACCCCCCCCAAAATTCTCCATGCCAACCCCCTGTTCCCCATTTCTTTTAGCTTAACCATATTTATGTCTTAGTTCTGGGAGCTGGAAGGTGAGGGATTGCTTCTGGCTGCTGGACAGCCACCACCTCAGTGTGGTCTTCATATTCAGGTGTCAGTGTACACCACCACCTATTCTAGTCTATTGAGGGCTGGGGTGTAGCTCAGTGGTAGAGCTCATGCTTAGCATGCCAAGGACCCTGGGTTTGATCTCCAGAACCAAAAAAGAAAAAAATAAGTTTCTTGGCCAGTCTTTAACACAAAACCCTGCTTTTGTTCTCTATTTGTTTTTCATAGCATGGCTCACTATGGTTTCCCACTCCTTAGTTGGGGAGGCTCTGCTGCAACCCAACACACTAGAATATAAGCTTAAAACCAGAAACTAAAGACAGTGGCTAAATATATGTAAGTGCCCAGCAGATGTTTTTCCAATGGATATGTGCATGCGCTGTACAATCCACTTTTGCATGTACTAACTTAGGTAACACAGAACCAGATCAGAAACTCATTTGGCCTGACTCAGTGTAAAACAACTGCAAACATGTGCATTCTGCCCTTGTAGCCCCTTACCTGGCCCTCCAACCCTTCTATCCCTACTTCCAACTCAATTCATATCATAGCCCCACTCCAGACAGCCTTACGTGTCAATGATGTACTTGATGTTGTCGTGGACAGTGACGTCATCCCTGCCCTTGTAGGGTTGGATATGGAAGGCCACCTGCCACAAACAGAGGAGGTGCTGCTTAGGTGAGCATTCAGGAGCACAACACATACAGCTTAATGGGCCCAGACATGGCTTGTAGCAGAGGCCAAGTTCAGGAAACCCGGCAAGCATGGGCTGCCACTGCCCTTCAAGTCAAAAACGATTGGGAAGTTTGTCCACACATCTAGGCATCATTCTAGGGGCATCAGGATGACTCTCAGGTTTCCACCTCTGTGCCAGCCTCAAAGTTAGCACAGGCTGCTGAAAACAATGGGGATTGGGCCGAATATGCCTTGGGGGAAGTGCGTCATGATCTGTTAAATGTGCCAGCCGTGAGCTCGGGAATGGGGACTATGCTTCTCCATAGTTTTTCTCCCTTCACAACCAAAGTGGGGCTTGACTTCCTCTATTGACATGTTTGAGGAAAATGGCCACAACTTAGCTCATGTTTCACATGAAGGTGAGCCTGCCTGCGGAGGCCCAGCACTACCCTCCACTAGGGAGTGGGGTCGGGAATTCAGTTGGCAGGTCCATTTGGCTCTTGCCTGCCTGTTATCCAGGATCAGGGTCTCCAACCTAATCTATTGTCTAATAAAAGTGGTATTTAGTCTCCCATTTGACCTCTAGTTTTCTGTTATTCTGGGAATTCAGGATAATATGAGTGACATACAGACACGGCTTATCAGACCCTCCCCGAATACCACACTGCCTACGGTATGTCATCCCTAGCTGCTCATGTGGTGGAGGATGGGCACTCTCCAAAAGAGAGCACATGACCTATAGCAACTCACCTGGATGTTGTACTGATGGGCTGTGTCCAGAATGGCAGGGACCAGGTCATCTGAGGGTTCCCCATTATCATCAGCCATGCCAGGTGGGTACCAGGAAAGGACCAGGACACCTGAGATGACACAGAGGCCCCTTCAGAGGTACACAGTGCCCTCTCCAACAGATTTTCTTCTCAGAAATCATCTCCAACTGCGTAAGATTCCTGAAAACCTCGACTGAGAATCGTGCCAGATTCTTACCAAGGCAGGTCTGATCCCAGAGCATTGCTGATCGTGGAGCTGTCCACGCCAGCGGTGCTGAAGCTCTGTAGCCAAGGGAGCCACAGCTCCTCAGGCGGGCAAGGAGCCAGGCAGGCTTAGCAGTGCATCAGCAAGCAGCGGAACAAAGGGCAGAGGGTGGCCACGCCACACCACTTGGAAGGTACAGTCCCTCCTTCCAGAGAAAAAGAGTACCTCCAAGGCCCTACTTGAAGAAAAGCTCTCTGAAGAAGTCCTGTCCCTGGGCTTCCCATAGGAGACAGCATTTGCCTTAACTGGATAGCTGCCCCTCTAGACTGCAAACCTGGATAGAATAACCCGTCTCATTTATCTTTGTACACTCTCCATCCCCCTCTCATTCATTTATTCGTTCATTCATTCATCATTGGAGACACTGTCTCACTATGTAGCCCAGACTAGCTTCAACCTGAGAGGCCTCCCGCCTCACTCTCCCAAACGCTAGGATGATAGGCATGTGCCACCACCCCAGCTCCTGTCATTCAATTTGAACCTCCTCGCTTTCATACCATCTTAAGGTATACCTAAAAGCACCGTACAATCCAGAGTTCGGTGACAATATCTAAAACGAGGGATCCTGCACTCTGGCTGGATACTTGATAAAAAGCTCCTGTCCTCGTGCCGTGGCCCCCACTCCAAGCCCAGCTCCGTCAACCATGCAGCACAGCAAACTTTCCTCTGCTCCCAGCAAGAGCAGGGAGTGCTGCTGCTCTCACTGCACCTGGCATGAAAGCAGAGACCTCCCCAGGCTCTCCTGTGAACCCCAGGCCTCACTTTTCTGAACCTGGAAACCCAACATGCTTAAAGCCTCTGGCCCTCCCCGTGCAATCCCAGCCTGGGATAGCTCTGTTGAGCACTTCCAACAACTCGGCCCTACCGAAGGGCCCAGAAGGTACGGTGGGAATATTGCAAGGTGCACAGTAGGCCCAGGGTAAGCGTGGACGGCAAGGGCTAAGAGGTCAGGCTGGCGGGTGAGAGGGGCCAAAGGTCCAGGAATGGCAGCAGGAGGTGAGGTGCAGGAACGAGCTGGGGACAGGCCGGCCAGGGGGAAGGAGGGCTCACCGATGGCGGCTTCCTTAAGCTGGGTCATGTGTTCCCGGAGCACGTCCGGGTCCCGCGAGCTGTAGGGCCCCAACTCCGGGTAGAAGCTGGAGCCCAGATCATCTGGAGGGCTGTGGCGGCCACGCGGGTAGCTGGCCGAGATCTTGGGGTCCCAGTGCGGCACCATGACGTGGTCCCAGTGGACGTAGTGGCCCTCGCGCCGCGGGCTCCCGTACCACGAGTAGTAGAAGGCGTGCAAATCGGAGTACACGCGCAGGCTGTGCCCGGGGGCCGGCTCAGCCTCGGCGGGCCCGGGCGAGGCGGGGGGCGCGGCTGTGCGCGGCGGGGGC